TTAACATTGAAAAGTATAGGTAGAAGATTTTTATTTTCTTTGTAGTATTCTATAACTATGTTTACAAAGTAATAACAACAAACAACAATGTGTTGATTTAGCCTAGGTTGGTGGAGTATCAGAACGCTCTGGTGGACAAGTCGGAGGAGACGTCGATGATCGTCGTTCACGTGGCAGACCACCGAAATCTAAAAACAAACCTAAACCTTCGAGTGATCACTTGTATTTATTTAGATGATGAATTTGAAATGATACCAAACACTATTTCAAATAAGTTGAAACCTTAAGTGTTATGACATTTACACAATCTATCAATGATTACCTTATTAATACTCTTTAACATTTTTAGACATTAAAAAACTTTTTGCGTTAAATTTATAGAAAAGAATGGACGAAAATGTATAAAAGAACATTTTTATCCCATATTTTTTCGTAAGTATGACTTGGGTTCAACTTGAAAATTGTTAATAACTATGCTTTAAAATCCATTAGATATAATTATAGGTTTACGTTTACATGCATGTGTATCAAAAGTAAATTTTATCTTTGGTTGTGTTGACAGTAAATTTTAACAAAAATATAGTTGGAGGTTCTTTACCCCCGCTATCTCGCGGTGGGTTAGAGTCCTAGTAACTAAAAAAAGAAAAATAAAATATACTTTCTTTTCTTACTACATATAAAATGCTATTTCGGCGTTTAATCATATCAAAATTGGTGGGGATTTAATAATTTATTTTAAATTCTAATGGATTTGACTAAACCACAGACTAGTTTCAGTTGGTTAAAAAAAATGTTTAGTTGTTGTTACAATTGACTCAAAGTAAAACACGTGGATCATAAGAAAGAAATAGGGAATTTGGCAAGTATAACTATAAAAAAAAAAAAACTAAATCACTAACCAAAACCCCTAAATCCAAGGGTTATCATTTTGCCACATAGGTAAGTTTTAGTTAGTTATTTAATTTATCTTTTTTCTTGGTTAGTAATCAAATTAACCCAAAGAAATATTGGTAACCAACCTTATAATTGTTGGTTCCCCATCCACCATTCAGTTGATTCACTA